GGGGAGAGAAAGCCAGCTCCCTGAACCTAGGCCACCCATCGCCACCCTGCCTGTCATCTCTCTCTAGCCCCCCCACCTCCCCAGGAGTCCCTAGCGGCCCACGCTGATGTTGCAGGTTTTGCAGCTGGGGTCTTTCTTGGCGTCAGCAGTGGACAGGCTCATGAGCTGGTGCCCGCTGATCTCCCCCAAGGTGCCCAGGGACAGGTCGACGGGCTCGGTATAGATGATCTCCAGGATGAGGTCCTGGGCATGGCGGAAGATCAGCTCCCCATCCTCCACGCTGCAGGTCAGGAACTTGTTGCAGGCAATGTCCAGGAGGGGCAGGCGGTCACGGCAGAAGCGGTCCCCCAGGGAGCCCTTGGGGGCCAGCACCAGGATGGCGTAGTGGTAAGCTGTGTACATACAGTAGAAGTCTGCAAAGTAGAGGTTGGTGCTGGGGTTGAAAAGGCGCTGGGCAGGGATCTGGAAGCGCCAGCGGCCGTAGGGGGAGTCCTGAGGCGGCTGGCCTGTGTTGAACTCTGTGTTGCAGCTGAAGAAGACGCCGTGGAGCATGCCACTGGTTGGAGAGCCATGGCTGCCGCTGTTGTCCTTCAGGTAGGGCTGCAGCATGTTCCCGCAGTGGGTCCTAACCACCCCCGGGGAAAAATGCCAAAGGGAAGAGAAAATGCCGCTGGTTAGCTGGGCTGAGGCTTGGCTGCTGTGTGTGGTTGAGAAAGGAGCCAGCGCAGCACCCCGCTCTCCCACCCGCTGCCGCCTCCATCAGTCACAAATAGAACATTCCAGAATGTGAGAGCAGGGAGAGCCCTGGAGATGGGCTGATGCAGCCCACTCCTTCGCAGAGGAGATGTCTGAACCTACCACTCCCCAGTTTAAAACCCTTTAATGGGGCTTTCATGAAAAGCAGGGCTATCACGATCTGTCCTTTCTAACCCCACCTCCCAACACCTCCACATCCATAGGTAAGATCCTCCAGCCACATGTGAACCCCAACTTTCCTGCCTTTGTGCCTTTGCAGTGCTCTTCCCTCTGCCTGGACTGCCTGCCTTTCCCACCTCCTTTCACCTACCCTGGCAAATTCCTAATCATCCATCAAGGCCCAGCATAGGTATCCCCTGCTCTCAAAATCTTCCAGGAGCATCAGGCATTTGTATTCAACAAAACCATGTGCAGACACTGAATTATACTCAACAATCACACACACACTCATTACATTCCATCTGTCTGTACTGTCCCCCCGATAGACTCTGAGGTTTTCAAGAGGGGGCACTCTGCCTTTATTCACCTTTATATCCTAGCACATATGGGTGCTTTCTGACTCTTTCTTACTTGCTGAAAGAGGAGCTCAAACTGGGCCAGTGAGCTCACCACACACCTCACTGCCTCTCTTCTTTAGTACAAACACCAAAGAAAGATCTCCCTTGTTCCCTGCTGCCCTGGGGTAGGGTCAGAACGCCCCACCCCAGCTGAATGCAATGACAAAGACAGTAAGAGTAGCAGCTTGCCCTAGTCCAGCCTTAGAAGGACAATGTCTTGGAGCAGTGTCAGCAGGCCTGGGGAGGATGGGCAGCCCCAGACCCAGCCTCACTCTTGCCTGGTCCTGGAAGTCTCAAGTAACTAGTGACTTACTGGCTTTCTGGGCTTCAGGCTCTCCATCTATAGGCTGAGTGGGTTGGACCAGATCATCAATTGGATTGAATATTTCTGGACTACAGAGCCCCTCTCTTTCTTCCCCGAAGGAAATTATACATAGGCGGTCCATAGGCAATAAAATTGAAGATGCTCCCGCTGAATGATAGGTGTGGGGCGCACCAAGACTCAGCCTGATTTCTTCAACAACCCGTCAGTACCCACCTCTCCCCCCACCACAAAGTGCCCTGAGATAGCTTCCTGGAGCCTCCAGGCTATCCAGCACACAGTTTGAAAACAATGACCCTTCATGCATGGAAACCTGTCGCTCTGTGCTACCCTCACCACCTCCCCCAGGGACCCAGGGCTTGAACTGGAGAGATGGCTGACCCTTGGCATTAGAACCCAGTGAAAGGAACTGTCCCAAAGGAGGAACAAACCCGAGATCTCGTTCACCCAGGCCAGTTAGCATGGTTCCCCCAGGCAGCCCCATCCCAAGGAGAGTCCTCTCCTTCCTTGGAGCCCAATCCCAAACAGCCAGCCACCCCCCCAGAGCCAGCCTGTGATAAGATGCCATGGGGACTCTGGTCTGGCAATGACAAGGTGGGGGTGATGTCAGACAGCCAGGGCTGTGTGGGCAAAGCAGAGCCAGGGGAGGAAGGAGAGACCCAGGCCCTGCTAGGGGCCATGCTGTACCTGGCATGCTGGAAGTACTCCTTGTGGTGGTTGCGGTAGAAGACAGAGAAGCGGAGCATGCGGCCTGCGATCTGTTCAGCCTTCTCCTGCAGCTGGGCCAGGTGTTCCTTGGCATAGTCTGCAAGAGTCCAGGCTGGTAAGCCCAGGGCCAGACTGAGCATCACAGCCTCCCACACTCACCCACTGTGCACACTGAACACCAGCCCACAACTGTCCTCAGAGCAACAGGGGATACCAAAGAGTTACAGCACCTTGGACCACATAGGAACAGGCCAGGTGGCCCAGCTGGGAACATGGACAGCTGGGTGCACCTCTGCACCCTCGCTGCCAGAGGCTCAGGGCTCTGAGTCAGAAAGGGGCAGGGGCTGCCCAGTTAGACAATCACGCTGGGGACCCCAGGAGCTGTAATCACTAGCTATCCTCATGTGAAGAGGACCAGCAAGCAAAGGAAGGATTGAGAGGGGAGAATTTGAGGTCCTCTAGGGAGAACTCAAACCCAGCAGGCAAAAGGCTGTGGAAGCCAGTGGTAATTACAGGTGGGGGCTCATGAGGAGATCACAGAGCACTGAAGTGAATGGTTAGCCAGACTAGGGTCTGAGGCAGTGAGTGCATCTGCACCCCAGGAGAAGCAGGGAAGGCTGGAAACAGGATGGTAAGATTGGACACCTCCCAGGGCCAGGATCAGAGTCTGGGGCCCTGGGGCCCAGGCAGGGCGGCTGCTAGCCAAGACAGAGCCTTTGTACAAATTAGAAAAAGGTGCCCTTTCCTCCTTGCTGATGTAGCCCTGGCCAGGGTGCTGGGTTTGGCAAGAGTAGTGTGGACTGGACTGCAGCCATCCCCAACTCCCCAGTTTGAATTAAACTTCCACCACGTGTGGAGTTCTGGGGTAAACCCAGAGGCTTTCCCCACAAGGAGTGGGAGCACCTCCAGAGAGTGGGGTTTTGCAGCCGAGCTAAGAAAAAGCACCACTCAAAAGAGAATGGCATGTCAAGGAGACTTGGGGCATAGGCCTTGGCAGAGGATGGAACCAGCAGCTTCAGAGGCCCGGGGCTAAGAATGTTCCCTGCCCCTTCCTTGTGACAGAGAGAGATCTGGAGCAATTCTCACTGTGGACACCAAAGGAATGGAATATTGTGGGGCAGATCGTGGGTCATCCACGACCAAATACACATAAGCCTGGTGTTTGTTCATGCTGGAATTTGCCAACTGAATTCTGCTAAGAGGTTTGCAGGACCACCGAACAGGGGTCATTTTCCAGGCTAAGTGGAGCCTCAAGACAAGCAAATGTGATGACCTACTAAGTATCCATCTACCGACGATGAATGAACAATGTGTAGTCCGCACATACAATTGTTAGCCTTGTAGAGGAAGGACGTTTTGACATATGCTCAACGTGGATGAATCTTGGGGACATTATGCTGAGCAAAATAAGCCAATTGCAGAAGGACAAATACTGTGATTCCCCTCACGTGAAGTACCAACAGTAGTCAAATTTACAGACCCAGAAAGTGGAATGGTGGTTGCCAGGGACTGGAGTGAGGAGGGAAGGGAGAGCTGCTGTTTAATGGGGTTAGAGTTTCGGTTTGGAAAGTTGAAATAGTTCTGGAGGTCAGTGGCACACCAGTGTGAACGTACTTAATACTACTGAGCTATACATTTAACAATGGTTAAAATGGGAAATTTTGTGTTGGTGTGCATTTTACTACAGTTCAGAAAAACATGCTTGCCCCAAGCCAGAAAAGTAGTTCCATGCCTGTACAGGAATGGTATTGTCAACATGATTAGCAGGGCTCATGTCTGCCTCCTGTGTCAGACTGCAGGTTTGTTGCGGGCAGGGGCGAGGCACATCCATGAGTATCTCCCTGACAGCCTGAGCATAGAGCCTGTATACAGCAGGTGTTCCTAAGTGTGTACTGGGGTAAGATCACAACTAAGCCAGATGTGCTAAAGCAGCAGGACAGCAGGGCCTCACCCCCAGTGCAGAACTCGACTGTCTCGCTCCAGCCGGACACCAGGTACTCTCCATCACTCTGCTTTACGGCGGTCTGCACGGCCACGCTGTACTCTGTGCGGGGGCTCAGGAACCAGTGGCCTCTCACTGTCATGGGCAGTGGCACGGCCTTGGCCACAAGCTTGGTGGGGACATCCTGAGAAATGGGATACAGACGGAGAGCCAAGAGTCAAACTGGGAGTCACGTCCAATCTTGGCATTCTGCCAGGCCTCACACTCCCCAGATGGCACCTGGGCCACCTGAGGAGGGCCAAAGTCTCCAAGATTCAATGGCTTGGTGCCCTGGCCACCATTTTCCTGAGGAAGGAAGCAGTGGCCATTGGGAAGGCCATATTGATAGCCCCCAGCCTCCACCCCTCATCATGCCCCCTGACACCCACTCTCTTGGGAACTAGGGAGAAAGGCCACTGGGGTGGAGGCTGAAAAGTTGAGGGCGGTGAGACCTCCGTTTTCGAGGGAGACTTCGAGAGCTCTGCACACTGCAGTGCCGTCTCCACGGCAACGGCAAATGCTGAGAGCCAGGGAGGAAGGGAAAATATCCTTATTCTTTGGGGGGGGAGGGTTAAGGGGGTGGTGTTGAACATTCACGTCACCGTGGCAACTGGCCTGCCAAAAGACACCCAGATCGGGAGAGCCAGTTCCAAAGAGAGAGAGGGTGAGTAACCCACATGATACGGTCGTCGTGGGAACCAGCTCCTTCCCACCTCACTCTTCCCCCTTCATCTCTGCCAGCTTGAGAAGGTGGGAGCCTTCCTCCCGCCCACCCCCACGCTGCTCTGACCCAGGGAAAGGACACTCCAGCCAGCAGAGGACTCTCATGTTTCTTTCCTAAACCCAGCCACACCACTAAACCAGAGGGCCAGGGCCAGAGAGGATCACAGGGGCCTAAGAGGCGTCCTTGAGGACCAAGCAAAGGGCCCCACCCCTGCCCATGGACCGAGTGGCCCACACAGTTAACAACAAAGCTCCTTCCTGAGTCGGGGGCTTTGTGGGATCCTGAGACACCAGCCCCAGGTGTGATGTCTGTG